CAAGGCGCAGGTTCGGCCTCACATGGAATACTGTTCCCATCTCTGGGCAGGGGCTCCCCAGTGCCAGCTTCTTCCACTTGACCGCATCCAGCGCAGAGCGGCTCGAATCGTCGACGACCGAGCCCTTTCCGATCGGCTCGATTCATTGGCACTGCGAAGAGATCTTGCATCTCTTTGCATTTTCTTTCGCATCTACCATGGGGAGTGCTCTGAGGAATTGTTCGGATTAATCCCAGCCGCCAAATTTCACGAACGCACATCGCGGCAGAACTCCCGATACCATCCACACCATCTGGATGATTGGCGGTCCACCACTGTGCGATTTAGAAGATGTTTTCTTCCTCGCACAACTTCCTTGTGGAATAGTTTACCACCAGGGATTTTTCCGGACCGATACGACTTAGGGACCTTCAAGAAAAGAGCCTACTCCTTTTTAAAAGGCCGGCAACGCATCTGCAATTCCCCTGGTGTTGTGGTTGTTCATGGGCGGCGGTAGTCACTTACCATCAGGTGAGCCGCATGCTCGTTTGCCCCCTCTCCTATAAAAAAAAAAAAAAAACTAAGAGTAGCCTTAAATATGCATGCGTGATTTAAGGATGTGAAAGAAAGGCAAGATGTGTCACGGTCTTGTCAAATGAAAGTCCGTAGTCCCTGTAATGATTACTTTACATCCATATCCGTCTCTGTCTCTGCTATCTGCGTGAGCGTTCATTTTATGTATGTATAATATGCTTAACTTGTTTATTTTACTGACAACAAGGAGTATACGCCCTCAAAAATAAATTAAAGGCATATGAATTCACCTTTTAAGTGTATTAGCGGAATAAAAGTTTCCAACACCTTATTTCGTCCCGCGGGTGTCTTAAGAGGCGACTATAAAATGCAAGAAAGACTTCATAGCTTCCGATAGATAGCGGTATAAGTAATTCGTTCACGCCAGACGTAAAATACCAAAACAAGACAACAAGGAGTATACGCTCTCAAAAATAAATTAAAGGCACATGAATTCACCTTTAAGGCGTAGTAGCGGCATAAAAGGTTCCATCAGCTTATTTCGTCACGTGGGTGTATTAATAGGCGACTATAAAATGCAAGAAAGACTTCATAGCTTCCGATAGATGGCAGTATAACTATTTCGTTCAAGTCAGACGTAAACTACCAAAACCAGTGACGGGGAGCAGTAACTATAATTTAAGTACGGCAATACGTCTGGTACGGCAATCACCAATCCGCCTATCAAACGTAGTGATACAGAGGGAGAGCGTGGCATATCGAACAGTGAACATTTACGCGATCAGAAAAAAAGAAGAACTATTTTTTCGGATAACACTGAAAAGGAATTCTTTCAGAAAATTATAATACACAATTTGAAATAAAAATCATAAAACACATAATAATGTAGATAACCTAAAAGCTAACAAGATCGTAAACATTACCAGATTAAATTTCTCATTACACTCGTTGTAACTTTTCCTGGAAAAATTTATCGACGAAAACTGGGATAAAGTACGAGAAAGAAATAATGATAAGCTCCATTTGTACCTAACACGGTTAGAATACAAAATACCAATCAAATGGATTTGTCCACTTAACTAGTGATTTAAAACGTCAAAAGATATTTTTTTACTATTTAATAGGTTAAAGGATGGCTTTTTCTATAGGACAGGGGGCAAACGAGCATGCGGTTCACATGATGGAAAGTGACTACCGCCACCCATTAACAACTGCAACACAAGTGGAACCAGGGAAATCACAGATGCGTTGCCGGCCTTTTAAAAAGGAGTATGCTCTTTTCTTGAAGGTCCCTAATTCGTATCGGTCCGGGAAAATCGCTGATGGTGATCGATTCCACAAGGAAGTTGTGCGAGGAAGAAAACATCTTCAAAATCGCACAGTGGTGGATCGCCAACCATCCAGAAGGTGTGGATGGTATCAGGATTAATCCAAACAATTCTTCAGAGCACTCCCTGTGGTAAACGCGAAAGAAAATGCAAAGGGATGCAACATCTCTCCGCAGCGCCAATGAATCGAGCCGATCAGAAAGGACTCATCAGAAGGTCGTTGACGAATCGAGCTGCTCTGCGCTGGATGCGGTCAAGTGGAAGGAGATGGCACTGGGGAGCTCCAGCCTAGATATGGGAACTGTATTCCATTTGAGGCTGAACCTGCGCTTTGTGAAGTTGCAAGCGTTGTGCCGGCATGAAATTCAGCAAGCACGCCAAGCTTTTTAGAGGCAAATTTGGTTTTCTTCCAATTGAATAGGAAACTGCACTTAGCTCGATATGTCGACGCCAAGGAGTCCGATACTGGCTGAGGCAACAAGGGGAGTGCCTTGAAACTGAGGAGATACGACAAAGTGGTTCTTTTTAGCGGTAAACGCACAAACTTGTGTCTTCTGAAGATTAAACTGGACTAGATTTAGTCGCCCCCAATCCGAGAATTTGTTCAACAATGACTCCGCAAGATTGTTCCGGTACTCGGCGACGTTTTCCCGAGAAATGTTGGCACGGCCGCTGTATAAGAGCATCACCAAGTGCGTGATTATTTAACAATGTAATTTATTTAACGTCACTTGTCGATGTAGGTAGGATATAAATAGGTTAGATGTGGGGTTACCTAGTTGTATTTTTAATTTTCTTTTGTATTTCTGCATTTTAGCGCACGATGGCAATAAATGTTACCGGTTTGCAACATATCATTGACATGCAGAAGAAACAGCGTTGGTGATAGCACGCAGTCTTGTGGAACACCAGCGTTAATAGGCTTGTAGTCGAAGCATGCACCGTCTACAATGACCCTGATGCTACGATCTGCAAGAATGCTGGTGATCCAATTGCACAATTTCTCGGGAAGCCCATAGTAAGGGAGCTAACAAAGTTGTTGTTGTTGTTGTTGGGTGTCTATAGCTTATTCATTATTCTAATATAAGATAAAATATTATAAACAAGTCTAACGGTTAAAATAGTGATGCCATCAAAAACATAACTTGTTAAAAAACTAAGTCTCGCAACTCATTTCTTCTAACGTAAAAAGTTATGAGATCAATGTAATACCAAGTCGGTTAATTTATTCTGTCCCTACTTAAGGATCATTCTGTCTTAAGTTATTACGTAATTAGCTAGCCATCGCATGAAAACACAATGTTCAAGTAATACATATTAGATTGTTTAGTACGATTGCCAAGACAATTTATTTATTTAAAACATAAAAGTTTTTAATATTGATATGGCCACTATAAGATGTTGTTAGGTTAGCTAATTAGGTAATAACTTAAGACAGACCCTGAAGTAGGGACTGAATAAATTAGAGAGAGAGAGAATTCATTGGTATTACATGGATTTCACAACTTTTACGGTAGAAGAACTGAGTTGCGAGACTTGTTTTTTTTACAAGTTATGTTATTGATGGCATCATCACTGTTCGCGCCAAACACTTTCAAGGAACGAACGCGAGAGGGCGTGCGGCTCAGTGTCATACCGGTTTGACATTCGGTCGTGCGTAAAACGCCCAAGGGCTGTCAGTCGTCCATAAGCGGTGCTAACGATTGGCACGCTGTATTCTGTTAGGGAACTCGGAATAATTCGGCGCGGCCAGTAAATATACGGTCTATCATTGTGACGCGCATTCCTACTGGAGAGCTTCCCGGGACTTATTGTGTCTGACTCAGAACCTGCATAAGTGCATTCGGCAATGTTAGATAGTGCGGCCTCTGATATTCTAGAATTAACTATTGCTACGCGAAACGGTAGTGACCTTTGACCCTTTAAACTCCGTGTGCGTTTGTGCGTTATCCTTATAACCAGCGATAGTTAGTGGCTTCTGTAAGTTAGTAAATCGTAAGATAGAGTTAATTGACTGTCAACGTGACGAAAGAAGAAAGTGACTGTGGATAACCTCGAAAGGCCCCCTCAAGTTGGAGCGGTGTCGACGCTCGGGCTGCTGCCGACGGCCAAGGTCTAGGTTCAATCACCATCAGTCACACCCAGATACACACCACATCACCATTCTTTCCCTTGCACTACACAACCACATGCGACCTGACCGACTCCGGAGGGACCAGTCGCCTTGGATATAGGTAAGTAAGCTTCGTCCAAATTCCCTCCGGTCGACTGGCCGTAGTATAACGCTCCCCCATATATTCTAGTGTAATTAGAGAGATTCCACGTGGCCACATTGAGGCCCGAGCTACGTTTGCTCGGGAAGTCTTCTGCTCATGGGCCCCAGGGGATTGGATCCTTTAAGGGAGCAACCGTAGGCCGTAACAATCACTTTTTTTGTAGATAGTTATATCTAGGTACCTATCTACACCTATTATTCTATCATATTATACATATATAGGTACAATGATTCATTCAATGCAAATGTAAGTTTGTAATCCTATATATTAATATGGGAATACAAAGTTATTTATGCAGCTGGCATATCTCGAAAATTGGACCGAAATTACAAAATATTTTAGTTTCCCCTTGATTTATATACTAAACATTAATTGTATTCCAAATTTGAAGCATCTATGTTTGCTAGAAGTGCCTTAGAGTTTTGATGATCGGTCAATCAGTGAGTGACAAAATTAACCCTAGAAGCCTAATCTGTCTAAAAGATACATAAAGCCTTAACATACGCCTCAGAGGCGTGCATATATAAATAACCATTTGTGGGCTAAAATATACTAATTATTTGTGATTTTTTAAGAATCTGGAAGATAGATTTATTCTAAGAATAAAACACAAATTAATCAGTGAAGCCTACAATCACAGCCATTTATTACAACAAAATAAAACAATTTGCCCATATTCGGACAAAAAAGTAACTTCTCATTAATCAACGGTAACATAATTTTTTTAACTATCTTATATTTTTTTACTATAAATGACTTTTCTTAGCACAATTATTAAATTAAATCAGCCTTTCAAAGAGCATCTTAAAGATTAGAGCAATCTTCACACACATCAACTTTGTGCTCGCAACATACTGACTTTTTGCACATAAAACACACTAATTTAGACATTCTCTTTTTTTGTAAGAGCAATAAGCGCAGTATTTGCGTCTGGTTCTCCCTTCTGAACTTCATTACTTGAATCAGTAGATTTTACTAGATTTTGGCTTATGTTTTCTCGTAAACATCTTTTCAAAGTCGGCGCTTCAAGTTTCATCTCCATCCAATGCTTGATCAAATCTGTGCTGAGCTGCTTCATGAATTCTCCCCTATTTAGGGGTATTTTATTGTTCTTGATTATGTTTTGGCCATAAATAACAAGAAAGTTGATAAACGTCATGTTCAAGATGCCGTAGAAAACAGCCATTGGGCATCCATTAGTTTTGCAACTGCACGACATTGAAGAGCACATTTGATCAAAGGAATCTACACCTCGTTTTGACTGGTTATAGAAATGAATCATGTCTGGCTTGTCACTTGAATAACTAATCACCGCATTTTCAACACAAGATGATAAGAGATACATCATCTTTTCAGACTTTGGTTTATAAGATACAAGCGTCAGGGGGCCATCGAAGCAAAACAGAACTACCAACAGGACGAGATCTCGTGTTCTTACATTGTTCTGGGATTTCCCGCTTGTTTGATCGAATAGTGCCAACTATGGTCAACTTGTGTGGCTGTTGAAGTTTAGCCGCTTTGATCGTGATATATTGTGTCTGAAACAACGCCAATATAACCACAAAAACACAAAAAAACTAACAATGGCATAGTCACACAACCAAAGTTAAAAGTAACACAATGCCTAAACATACGCCTCGAAGACGTACTACATGTCAATAAGTCGAAATTGGCGTGACTTACCTTAGCGATACGGGTACCATAGGCACACTCCCGGCGGTCATTGAGTTGGCTAAGCAGGACGAACCACTAACTTCGCCCGTTAGAAAAAGATAGACAATTTCCGAATGCGTATACGCCTCGTAGGCGTAGATAAGGCTTCTAGGGTTAAGAAACTTTGACTAGTTATAATTCTTCAACTACTGGTTCAAATTGAATGAACTTTAAATTATGCCAAGTTTATACAATGCCTACTTGGTTACTGATGTTCTGAAATTCAGGCTTCTAGTTTTATCCACAACGAAGTAATAGGGGTTCGAAAATGACCTGAACTGCTTCGAGAAAAGAATGGTACGGTCTGCCGCTGTTTTGCTCAACTTGGCGGGGGCACTATCGTGCCCCCAGATTAAAAACTCCGACTGCAAAAAAATAATTTTAATGCAATTTTTCACTTCTACAACTATGACAAATCTAACGCTTTCTTATAAGTTAAAACCGATCAAGCAGTTTATGCTTTAGAGCGTGCCAAATAAATAGATATACATACATTTATCCATACATACATTACATTCCCTCTGTGTCAGTCAGGTAAACATGGCACGGAATGGTAGCTCTAATGGCAGTTACTACTAATAACTATTAATTTAAATTAATGAACTTTATTAGGACATAAACCTTAGATGTAGTAAAAAAAAACATGTTCAATAAATCATAATTAAATATTTGAATCGGTTTAGCAGTTTCCGGAAAATCGGAACTAAAAATAAAAGGATAAAAAATATTTTTTTTAAAAGTAACTTACTTAACACACTTAGTTTCATATATGATTTCGGAACAAACGAAAATCATACTATAGTACAAAAAGTATAAAGTTTAAAAGGATTAAATATCGCCAGTTTGTAGAACTTCAAATAAATATATCCACCTGGAATGATTTGGCTAATCCGTTGAATTCACTCGAGCACAAATCCGTAGATTCAAAAATAGCTCCCCTGATACAAGTGATATATGAAATGACCGTGCTTCCAATTTCCGGCACATTCCATATTTATGAAACAGTTTACGCTACACGCAATACAAATGAAAACATTAAGTCTCTTCTTAAATATTTTTCTTTAATTATCAAATTAATTTGCACTTACAATGCATGCATGATGTTGGATATCTTTAAATATAATTATTCATACATATGTTAATTTGTGCTACTTAATATAATAATAAAATAAAAAGTTAGAATTTCTTACAGAGCATAAACTTGTTCTTCAAAATATATCGGTATTCGTTAATAAAGCCCATGATTTATCACATTGGATAAGACAATATTTAGTTGAGAAATTGGTCAATTTGAAAACTTAACGAGAACGAATTGGGTACTCTCCCTACATAGAAAGTAGAGCTGATTTTATAAATTGTTTGGAAAGTTGAGCTATATTTTTTAGCTATAGTTTAGGAAATTTAGAAATATTATGATGCCACATTAAAATGAAAACTAATAACACAGATGTAAGATCATTAAATTTTTTATAAAATATAAGTTAAATATATGTTAAATATATACATATACATATATGTTAATTAAATAAATCGCCGTTGTAGCTCAGAAGGTTAGCGCTGGCAGTAAATGTCACAGTATGCGAGCAAACCGGGTTCGATCCACGCCAGCACCAATGAAATTGTTAATTGCAATTTTTTGGGTTGATTTACCACGTGCTTGGCGGTGAAGGAAAACATCACGAGGAAACCTGCATAGGTATCTGAAAAATAAGAAAAAATGTTTCGAAGACATGTGAAGTTCGCCAACACGCATTGGGGCAGCGCGGCGGATACTTTCTTGCCCTAAAACAGTAGGGGAATCCAGCAATGGGACGTATATAGGCTTTAACTAATTAAAAGAATTACAAACAACTCTCAATGTATAGATTCACCTTCAATCTTTTTAAGAAATTAAAAATCTTAGCCTAACTTAAAGAGTATATCTTACTTATTTAAAAATGGGACAACCTTAAAAGTTCTTATTAATGTATGAATTTGAGGACGTAAATTACATCTGGTGTTTTGTAATAATAAAAATAAAATCCTTCCACTTTTACTTCGAAAGATATTACTCAAAACATTTTTAATATTTAAGAAATAAAATGTATGTTTTTATAGCCCAGTATTTTGAAAAACAAAGTAATTATATTAAAAAGTTGCCATTAATGTGAATAAAATCGTAGAAAAGGCACAAAGGCCTTTTCAACTCGTCTTTTTCAATTATCCAGTTGAGAAATGTTTCACGCTAACGTCTTTCTTTTTATAAGATATTGTAAATAAACGTTCCTAACTTTTACAAAATAATTATTTAATGGAAAGAGTATGTTAAAATTCTAAACATTTCGAAAACTTATTTCAAAAATATTCTAACGGATGATTATGTCTGCTAATGAATAGTTTTTTTAATAAAGTTCTATTTGTGAACATGACAGCACACACCGGTGATGGTGTCAGAATATCTATCAATACATTTCTTCTTAGTATACTAGTAAAGGAAATGTTAAGAAAGTCCTGTTATGTGAATGTTAAGTATGTTAGGAAAGCCTGAACAGCGTGGACGATTCAAGGCATCTGGCAGAAACTTTAATCGATAATACACGACTATATACTGTATAGTAAGGCAATTACGATTTGTGTCGACCTTTTTATATACTTGTTTATATAGAATAAGGATAACAATCGAGCACTTAGTCCAACTGATGGTAATTGGATCCTGTAGCCCTACTGTAGCTGTATCTCAGCATTACTCATTAATTACACTAACTTCATAAACTAGAAACAAGTTTTTTTTATACCTTTCGAATAATGGAGCTTTACTATCGTCATAATATAGTATACAGACAAAAATATAAAACAAGTGAAAACGTTTTTCGGGGAGACTGAAATCTAATTTACTAACTCCAGTACATCAAAGCAGAAGCCCTTAAAACAGAACAAGTTTCTACAAAATTAATGTTTTAGACCAAAGTATGGCAGTAAAGACAAATTAGGTACACTTTATAGGAATTGGAGATATACATTTTATATCGCTTGTTGGCTAGAAGAGACTGAATATTAATCCATATACTGTTTTCAGAGAATAAATATTTCTCTGTCAGTATCGCTTTTCGCTATATTTAGAACCATTAACTGATGAGCTACTTTTAATCACTTTGTTGGTCTCTTTGATTACTTTGATTTATGTATAAAGAATTTTGTATATTTCTTTCTTTTTTAAGTTTTGGACTTGAACTTCTTTTACCATAGAATTTACCACAACTACTACTTTTGGAAGTTGTGTTGGAAACTACACTTGCAGATGTACTGCTATTTTAACGCTTCTCACCGTTACATTTCTTTATATGATTTACCATCTGTAATACTTTTCGATCTTGCTATAACAGCGTTTCATGGAAAGAGATAACTTACCGATTTTTTTTTTGTATTTATGCCTTTAAAATATTTTGCGACTTCGATAATTTTCTATTGTAATGTAAAAGGAATACAATCACTTTTGTTATATTCGTTAAGAAAGACATCTCGTTAAGGACAACGGAGTACAACTCAGTATGTTGTTATGAAAGTTATTTCTATCATATGAAATATTTTTATGTTATACTGAGTACTTTAGTTAACCGAGCTCGATGTTAACGGTTCTACGGTAAGATTGAATTTGACACTATTGTCAACGAGGTTTTAAATAATATTTCTCTAATGCTATACTACAGTAGGATTATTTTATGTATTTACATACATAAAATGTATTTATTTATTTATTTAGGTACTCATAACAGAATAACACCACAAAATTTATTACATGAGCAAAATACCAATAAGATCAAAAACATGTGTATACAACACTAGCTGTGCTCCGCGGTTTCACCCGCGTATATCACGCATCTGCGCTTTGCGACATGCGAACTTCGAGAGAGACATCACGACGGACGGTTGCTGTATTAACAAAGATTTAAAAAGTGAAATATGTTACTAAAATTACATGGTTAACGTAATTGGTGGTTATGCATGATACAGGTACTGATACGAATAATGTCTAGGCCACATTATTCGTATCAGTACGTACTTGTATTAGTAGTATTTGTACCGGCGTTACTATTTCACATTTTATCATGAAAAAGTAGTTATTGTGACATAACTGTAATAGTTAAACATATGGTATCGCAGACTTTTTTGTAGGGATTAATATCCTCTATAAAAGTGAAGTACATTACTTTGCTCTATTATCAATAGTTTCCGAAGTGTACGCGATATAAGGATTATTTTTGGTATTTTTTTCACACCTTGGGTTACATTAACGAAGTTTTCATACGGATCCCTAACTTTTTTGAAAATATTACATAACCTATGTTCATAAGGGATAATGTAGGATTCTAATGGTGAAAGAATTTTTCAAATCGGTCCAGTAGATTCGGAGCCTATTCAATTCAAACAAACAAACAAATCTTTCCTCTTTATAATAGTAGTGTAGATGTAGATGTATGATACAGGTACTGATACGAATAATGTCTAGGCCACATTATTCGTATCAGTACGTACTCGTATTAGTAGTATTTGTACCGGCGTTACTATTTCACATTTTAACATGAAAAAGTAGTTATTGTGACATAACTGTAATAGTTAAACATATGGTATCGCAGACTTTTTTGTAGAGATTAATAT